CTCTATCCTAATTACCTAAATATATTTTAGGGTATGGTACTTACTAATTATAGGTTCCAAAAATAATAATAAGCTAATTAATCTTTAAATTAACCAATCTANATATTATAATTAATTATATATGTCATGCTAAAAATTTCCATATTTTTATTATTTTTTAACAAAAATTCATAAATACATGTGTCACAAATTTAATATTTTAAAATTTTATATAACATCCTATATCCTATATATATTAATTAAAAAGACTTGACAAACAAAAAAAGTTCACACAAAATAGTTGATGTGTCAATAAAAAATAAATTGAGGTACATCTTAATAATCTATTAAAAGAACTAGCATATTACTTTTTAGGAATTTTGCTAAATTGACTCACATTGAAATTAGTTTTGTCCCAATAATCTTTGCCTTTTTTGTGCCAACTTTTTCCTACATTACCCTTTGATTAATATTGAAAATTACAAATAAATGGTTTTTATAATTTTATAAAATCAGGAAAATACAAAATAATAATGTACAAAGCATATAGATTCATGTTTATATTTTTTTTTTCAAAAAAAACTATGACAAAAAAATATTTATTTTTTCTTCTATCATGGTCGAATCTACTAGTAGATTAAGTGTTCTGCGAATTTGTATAAATCTACGAATGGTAGAAGGAAGTATTCTACTAATTGTTCAAATTCTACATATCGCAGATTGCACATTCCACCATTTTGCTTCAGTACTACCAACCGCAGAATACTATTTCTACCAATGACTTTGTCTTCTACGATACGCAGAATACATATTTTACCCTTTTTATCTACCGCTTTCTCTATCTTCTACGAAATGGTAGAAAAGATATTCTACCAAAGTTACTTTTAATCTCCAAAATCTAGGACCATTAAATTGTGGGTTATTTTCTTTTCAAACACGTAATATTCGGTAAATATTTCCTAAATTTATTATTTTCCTTCCTGTTTTCTTCTTTTCGTGAAAAATATTTTTGACCTTTTTTGTCAAACATTTTTTTGAAGTGTTTTTGAAAAAACACATTTTGAATTTTTTCGAATCCTACAATTTTTTTTATTAAATACGGAAAACATATATGAATATAATATTTTCGTTTGCTTCATTGTTTGATTAAACACCTATAGCTCACTTGGCTTGAATCGAACATACCCATACCTCGAGGTCACGAGTTCGATGTCACATGTGACACATTTTGCATTTTTTCGAATCCTACAATTTTTTTTATTTAAAACGGAAAAGTATGAACACAAAGTCGACTACGACGGCTAGTCTTCTTCGCTGGAAAAGTATGAACACGAAGTGGACCGAGAGAGAGAGGCGGAGAAGACGATGTCGCAAGAGAGAGGCAT